GGTATACCGAAATGAAATACTGAAATTACTTTCTAAATTACTATATAATTTTTTTTATACAGTTTGAAAAAGTCATGCGAATCCGTAAACCGATCGTGATTTTCCTGAACCTACGAGTATTTAATTGCCAATTTTTTCTAATTAGATATATACTCCGAATGAATTTTTATATTTCATATAAGGAATTCTATCCGGTTATTTTCCTCTATTACTGCGTCCAGTTTTTTAAATGAATTGTTTTGAGAACTTCAATTTTTGAAAGTTGGGGCTAGTAACCCTTTTTCTATCGTAGGGGGGATATTTTACACATTGTGCCTGCCACATACCCGCCTGAAGATTACTCAAAACCTGGAAGATATACCCACTAAATGCCATCCCATGCACCCTAACTGTTGCGGGCAAGGCGTGAAATACAGAAGGGCCACATCCAGTCCCCAACTGGTAACCCTAGCGAAACACAACGTTTTCATTATGAAATTTATTTATTGGACCTAATGCTAAAATTTAAAAGTAGATCATTATTTTAATTGAAGCTACCACAAATGTGCGTCTATTTTTTTTCTAAACTAAATATTTCAACATCGTAGAGCCATGGATCAATGCAAAATAGCGACATAATTTATGGGTCATAAAACTGTTGTTACTAGAAACTGCTGTGTCTCACATGGCGTTAGTACCTATATTCGAAACATTTTACGAGTATTAGAAACATTTTGTTGCGACACATGAAAATGATGTAAGGTTACGTACATACTGGTGATTTTATGGAAATCACCTAATTGTCACGTGTTCAACTGCGCGAACCACAATTCAATGATTTTGGTGACAGAAGATATAAAAACCGGTCAAGTGTAAGCCAGACTCGCGCACAAAGGATTCCGTACCATTATCTATTAAAAAAGGTTTTAAAATCATGTTTGGTGTTTTCTATGGAGTCTTTAAAAGTTATTACTATATTACTCGTAATCTTGTGAAGCCAATTTAGATGTGATAGTTTTCTTTTTAAGTTCTTTATATGTATATAGGTACTACTGCCATAATCTTTAAATTTTTACCAACTACCGTTTAGTCGGCAGAGGAGAGGGACACTTGACTCTAATAAAAATTAGCTCTTTAAAGCTAAATAAATCACAAACGGTTTACTAAATAAAAAACGGCCTTCATCACACCCCAGAGTTTTTAAATGAGCTATCTAACGATGCCCCACACTATGAGGAAGATAAAAAAAAAGTTTCCCACTTTACATGTAGGGAAGGTAACCTAATTTCTTTTTCGATATTTCATTTTGCCTCTTTTGCTGTGTAATTAACGTGTCTACTCATACTAAATTACAACTTTCTAGTACTACTAGTTTTTGAAGTAAGTCGCGGACAGATGGACAGGTGGTCATGGCGAAACTATAAGGGTTTCTAAAAAAGTCACCGTGACAAAACGTCACCAGTGCGCGCATAGCTTAACAAAATATTAGGTGTAACATTACTATATAAACTATTGTATTCTTATGCTGTTGATTCATAATGTATTTCGTTATATTATAAACAACTGAAAAATTGGGAATGTATCGCATAGTTCTAATAGTATTTCAAAAATCAAAAAATGTGTGCAGCTACTTAGATTATGTTGTGTAGCTAGCTTTTACTAGCCTACATCATACTCGTGTGATAGGCTAATTTACGTAGGCGAAGTCTCTGAAAAACAACTAGTGTTTGATAAAGATGAGATGAGAAAAATCTTCAACTTTCAAATGATTTTGAACAAAGAAATAACATACAAATAACCTCCGAAAGAAACTTCGAATACTTATATGTACCTACTTATGTGCTTTATTTCAATTAAATACATCAGAGTTTTTAACCGACTTCAAAATCGAACAGAAGGAGGTTAGTTGTTTTCCTTTTATAACAAAATAAAATACATTTTTCATCATATATTAGGGATGGCGATCTAAGAAATATTTTACACCTAATCTGATACTTTGATGTGCAAATTCAAAGTATCATTCATTCATTATTCAGAGAATTCGTTCTCTGAATTTACTGATAAAAGATCGTTAATTATAATATTTATCTCGTTTTTAATAAAATGGATTAATACTTTAAAAGATTTTTAGAAATCGATCTTTACGACCTCGATTTTTTTGTGAATCAATTCATCAGGTTACGATTCAAATCGATTTTGAAGTCGATTTTTTTCAGAAAGTATCACCTAAATATTTCGATGATATGCATTGTATCTTAAGTATTTCAACTTCAAAATTTTCTATGTTCAAAGAGTATTTCGTATTTCCATCGATTTCTTCTTAAATTGTGAACCAATTCCTATCAAACTAGCTGTTTCCCCGCGACTTCGGCTACGCAAGTTATAGCCAATGTTCAACGCATATTCTGTAGCTTTCCGTAGAGAAAAGACTTATAAATCTGTCCAATAGTGTAGGAGCCTATCCAATGCAAACAAACAAGCAATCAAATCTTTCCTCTTCATAATATTAAAATAGAATTATTGAAAAAAAAAATATGTCGCGCAAATATACAAAATCTTCTTTTCTAAGACTTTCACTGTGTTGAATATTTTTATTTATATGCCTATTATACCCATACCTATTATATTTTTTATACTTATTATTTCATTACTATTATATAAAAAAATATTAATATCACTAAAAATCATGGGTTTAATTGTTTTATATTTTTAAATATAGACCATACTAGTGGCATTGTTAACATTTATTATTGATCTTGCATAAACGTCCAGTACGTAGCTGGGAGAAAGCTCTCAGTGCAGCCACTATCAGGTGACGTAATATTTACATGCACCGACACCTCGGTGGTTTCGGAGGCCACCCGGAGGCGCATATGTTTATAATCTGCTTCACTCATAGTCGACTGAGCTGAGCTGACATATCATGTTTAAAACGATTAACGTAAAGCTAAATACATGGATATTTTTTTAAATAATAACTAGTTCGTAAATACGGGCATTTAGATTACACATGTTGTAATGGAAATAAACAAACTTATGAATACACTTACTCCCATCACAATATGGAACTTCTAAAGAAAAACGTTTTTGCGATAAGTGCTTTTTTGGTGACATTACAAAGGTTTGAGAATACGTATTGGTTTCAATGATATTACTCTTTCAATAATAATCTTACTTTTTTATATTAGCAAAATTTTTAGCCTTTGAAATAAAGTAGGGTAAAATATCTTTTTACGAACAATGAAAAATAGTTCGGAAACACAAAAGCATTGTCAGTACAGTCATCTCAAATAATACTGATAAAAAAAATTATGCATAAATCACGAAACAAAAGTAGGTAGGTAGGTACTTACTTTTACTTTTTTTACTTTAACTCTGATTGCTTTTCATTAATTACTATCCAGAATGAGTTATTTGATACAACAGAAATCATCTACTCTAATAATAAAGGTGACAATATTGAACGATGATGAAATAATACATGTTGAATTAATATAATATTTGTGCGTAGAGTCTATTCATTAAAACAAAACAGATAAAAAGAATAAACCGCAGTGGACATCTACGACACCTGAACCGAAATTTTCTAATAATTTAAAAAAGAAGGCCACAACTAATTATGTCAAGTGAAATCGTATTGCCTAGATACAAGCACATTAATATAGGCTATCGCGGCACCACGTCAGCACGATCCTAATGACCGTTTTATGTTCGCCCTTTTTATGACCATTCCGAATATTGTCGCGTCGTAAACCGTCTCACATAAGCGTACGCGTGTTTGTCATAATTTGTGACGAGAATTTTCGTTTGGATGAAAATTTTCAGCGCCCTATATTGAGGCTAACGTTTATTTTATCGCTCGAGGTGTGTGAATGATTTTACGAGGCTTATCTCGGAGGTAAAATGAAAGAAGTAAAAGTAATAAAATATTGTGCAACAAAATTACCAAAAGATAATGACTCTGGTAGAGTCATTTTCGAATTTGATTTTATGAAACCCAAGGAGAGAACAAATAAGTCTGTATAATTAACTGAATGATATTGAAATATACTATAATAATTTTAAATTGAAATGCGCATAATTATTTGTCTTGGTTTTTTCCTTAAAACAGAGCAATTTTTTGAAAAGTTATTATAGTAATAAATAATAAAATGTTAATAATCAAACTACAAGCAACAAACAACACAATAAAAAAACAAGACACATTAGTTATATCGAAACACGCCAAATATTAACATCATTTAAGGACACAGATGAAGGACTGAATGTCAATATTCGAGGAGAGTAATTCATAGAATTTTCGTACCGTTAAAATTTAAAGTAATAAAAACTAGAACTTATATTAGCCCACTATTCATGCTAATATAATATTAAGAGTGACTTATTCTCAACAAAACATAACCGAGAGTTTGTTTTCATAAAATTCGATCGACATTCATATTACTGTTACGTAATTTTTCACATTCCAAGCAAGGAATTATTGAATATATTTGTATAAACTACAAGATATTTGTGTCATGGTTTTTCCAATAACTTACTTACCTACTTTTACGGATAGGTAGTAGTTAGTTTACGACTATTAAATGCGATAGTAGAACGCTTAGTCATACTTACATTCAAGTATAGTAAATGACATCAATATAAGTTAATACATACAAATAAATATTGATACAAGTGATAACAATCCTAAGATCAAAATTAATATGGATCTTGAAACCTTGAGACTGTTGAAGTGCCGATATAAGGCTCTACTATTGTATTTTTTTTTTATATTTCCATAATCACTTAAAAAGTTGTATCAGCTACTTTTTATTATCGTAAAATAAAATTACATTAAAGTCAGTGGGTTGTTCGTTCGTCGTTTACGAGTAAATATAATGGTTAAACTTCTAATTGGATTTCGTTAATGAAAAAAAAATGAATGCAGATATCTAAAAGGAAAAATTAAACAACACAACGAGGAATTAGTGAGATAAATCACACAAATCAAAACATTCTTTCAGCGATGCTTACGAATATACCTGGCGATGTAGAGCGCGCCTTGAACGTCGGCGTTATCATGACGGTTTCTGAAAATTACAATCAAAATAAAATCAGTATTGTTTTTCAAGTTAAACGTTTTACGGAAATTAATGTTAACGCCATCTTAGATTTTTGAATTGTTCCATAACGTGCCATATTTTACTAGTAAATTCCTTACATTGATATTTCCCCTATCGAGGAGTACCTATATTTAAAAATCCGCCATTTTGTGGTATCGGCCATTTTCATTTTACAATAATATTGAATAAATATGAATGGTTTAGGCCCTTACTAGACAAGAAACTTTAACCGTTGTAAAGTTAAGCATAGCTCCGTTCAAGTCATGTTAGTGTGACTTTCAGTTTGAGAGAAAAGACAAAATGCTGTATAACTATACCACGCCTACACATTACTTATTTAAAGCCTTTTATCATTAAAAAGAATAATGGTTACTGCAGACTATTGCAGATGTTGCCAAGATCAACAATTTAACGACCCTAAAAAAACAAGACACTCAAAAAACATTGATCACACATCTCATGTTTTTTTTTATTTATTGAACATCCACGATCGGTAATCAAACACGCATTACTGAGCACCTCGAATTTATTTCTACAAAACTTTAGAGAACTTCACTTTACTAGAAATTAATTTCTCAATATAAATTGGTTATTAATTTTTCCAATGAGCGATTTTCTTAATTTAATAAGTTTTTTCCGAACTTATACTTACGTTATTTATAAATTAAGATGAAATGCATTTTTCAACACAGCTCAAAAATCTTTTCTTTAATATTTTTTCATTATAAACTAATTGTGTGTTCTATACATAAAATATAATTGAAACCTTCTTTAATGCAACTATACTTTCTACAAAAAAAAAACAACAGGAAAGTTTCTAATGATGTTAATAATTGGTGATTTGTGGGTGAAACTAACAAGGTAATAGCTTATATTACGCATCCAATTGGGTAGCATTCAATATTAATAGGGATACTTCAAACATAATCAAAGTATAATAAACAGACGTAAACAACGTTGATGACTTGAAGTGTAGATTTGTTTTTCGAATTGTAATTGTTATTTTCAACAAAACGTTTAGAATCCAAGTATAAATAAATTTTGAAATGTCAACGTTTGAAATCGGTATATTCTTTATTTTTTCTATTAATGGTAGCAATTTTATTTAGGTATAATCTTGACTTGTAGTTTAAATCTTGCCAAACTGCTTTTTCAGTAACTAAAATAACAACAGTAAACTTATAATATAGTGTCTTTCATAACACTTGACTACGGAATAACGTTACAGCAAACCCAATTTAAAATTTGAAACCATTTAGTTTATTTTATCTAGTATTACAACAGAATTGGCACCATTAATATCATGAATCAACACTAACATGTTCACACCATTGTTTAATCGAAATGGACAAACGTTATCTAATTAGTATTGGTGCTCCGTTTATTTACCAGCAGGTAATATCTATATTTGTCAATTTCGCATTCACAATGCTATACTGAAAAACATTCTTAATTAAATATGCTTAAAAATCCCATCTCAGGGTGCCAGGGACTTTTTTCGTTAAGGTAATATCTAGTTTAAACATACAGCAGCGCATTAGGCTACCGCAAAGCGCCAAATCGGTTTTGAACTCAACAGTCAACAAATTGAGGTTTAAAATTAAATGCAGCAATCAAAACTCCCTTACGGTTTTTTTTAATGTAGACTTAAGGTGATATACTAATTCATCATAGTAATCTATTTGAAAGGTTTTCTCACTTTTCACTCTGGATGTACAGTAAATTACTCAGAGGGCGAAAGATGTGGGTCATCGCGTCATTCGACCCACAAACTGTGCTAAACCAATATTAAGTTAACGTGTACAGAATAATTGTGGAGAAAGCACTCTGTAAAGTGTACGCTCCCATCGACGCAGACAACGCAAACACTTTAAATAACGCCTGTTAATTAAATTACTTCATTAAACATCTAAAACTTTTAATAAAGGTTAGTAACGGAATGAAGAACTGTAACCATGGACTATATTTGTTTTTTTTTTAGGAATAACTTTTTGAACTAGTCATTATTTACAATAATTTTCTCTTTTATAGCTGTTGAGTTATTTAGTTCATCTTATTGATTTATACTTTCTCTGTTTTTATTTATTATGGTCTATAAATACATCGTTACTTCCATTATTTATCAAGTCTTTTTAATGGTCACACAATTTTCAAAATTGGAAGTTTTGAACACGTTTAAGTCTTTATAAACACATTTATATTCTCTATGATTGTGTGACATTTAGTAAACAAAAGTGTAAAACGCACGGTAGTGAATATTTGTCAATAATAACACAATAAGGAAAAGTGTCTGTAAGATCTCCTTTTATTCATTCAATGTTTTTTAAGCAATATTATAAAAAATAGTATTTTGCACTTCTTATCCATTTAACCTTTAAATGTCTCAAGTTTCATAATCCTTCGTCTGCAATAGTTTGGTAATAAGGGTTCCTAAACATATTGATGATAAACACTTGCTACGAGTGTCGCCCATTATAAAACTGAAAATAATCTACTAAATGATTCAATAAAATGGATTAGTAATTATGTTGAACTTGCGATAAAAATAAATTTGTGTAAATAAAAAATATGTTTTGTAGATTGTGTTATACTCGTATTCATTTCTGTCGATATGTAAACAAATTTCCTTTAGGTTTGTTATTAAACATAAATAGGTGATATTAAATAATCCCGTACCATGAAGTTCTACGCTATGCTAATTTTGAAATGCAAATCGCACCCTACACTTCAATAACGAGTTCTATTTGTAAAAGGAACCTACTCCAATAATGTTATGAACCGACTGAATCTACAATTGATGTTTACATTCACCCATCATACCCTCGCCGCGGTATCAGTCGGATCCAGTGAGCTCAGCTTAAGTATGATTTGGGAACTAGTTGGTTAGTTCTGGCTTTGGCAACGGTCGTCCCGTGAAATCGAATTGGCCCACAGTCAGAGACGAAAATAAGTAGGTATAAAATCGTATTCGGTGAAATGAAAACCGAAGCTCAGGTGCGCAAGCCAATGAATCAGCGTTGGATCGTTAAATACATTTCAAAGGCAACTTTCTTAACATAAGTTAAAATTACAAATATCGTAAATTCCTAATTGTCATTTATGACTTCGTATCAAAATTATGTTTCGATTTAACAAGAATGCTGATTTCTTTAATTTCAATATCTTTTATACTTATAATCATGCTGATATGCTGAGCCTAATGAACCGATCAAATAAGCAAACGTTAAATGTTGCATTAATATTTTATACCCCACAAGGAAATTCTGACGGATAGTCCTGAAAAATTGGTCGTAATTTAAGTTTAAAACAGAATAACGAGTTCTTCTTTTTCTGTCGCTTTCATAACCAATGTATTATTTTTCAATTCTTTATACTAGTACAGTTGTTTACACAAATGTTAAACTTGCTATTTAGTCACGGCAGACGCAAACTCATTGTTGTCATGACAATAGCTAGATAGGTAGCGATCCTGACAGTTACATAACGAGTATAATAAGGGAATTCAGTGGAATCGTTCATTTGAACGTTCGCCTCATGTGTTTGGGGTGTGGTGGCGTCACAGATGAGCGGCGCGAGCGCAACAAATAGAGCCCAGATCCTGTGCAGTGTGTGAACCGACCGCGCCCTGCAATCGAATCTGTGCGTCCGCTACTTATATTAATACTTATCAATGACCATAGACAACATGATTACCATGAAGAGAAGAGATAATCAGTTTAAACAAAACAAAACCTTAACCTCTTCTTTGTTCTTCGAATAAGTTCTTCTTTTATTTTTATTATTACATCTTCAGCGAGTAAATACTCATTTATATATTTTAATACATAACAGTTTGACTTTGGTTGAGAATTTTCAAATATTCCTAGTATAACTATTTTATCAAATTATCTAGTTCAAAATGTATCAGGCTTGTGCCCTACAAGTAAAATTACCGATACTCATATTTTCGGAAAATATAAAACATTTTAAATTACAAATATTTAACAAAATTATTTTTGCCAGTAATTTGGGTATTATTATGCGCTGAAAACTTAAAAAAGTAGGGAAAATATACCACAAAAATTTGCTAAAATACATATGCTAAAAAATTTGTAACATAAAACGTTACCAATTTTAATTATAACAGCTATGAACATCAATGCACAAATAGCAAAGAGTGCAAAGATACATTTAAATACTATCAATATATTATCCAGCGCTCTCGGGAGTCTTTATCGAAGTTAACTTCTATCAATGACAAAACTCCACTAGTCCACCGTCCATAGAGTCTAGATCGATTGTAGTTTAATTCAGGAAATAGAAGAGCATTCAAATGCGAGGAGCAAACTGCCCGTTCAACTGTGCTGCGTATTAAAACAGTTTATATTTCAAAGATTTTGTAAGTAACAATTATAAGGTAATTCTAATGTTTGATAAAAGCATCAAACATATAATGATATTATGTGATAGTACCTAAAACACTTGTTTAAATTGTGTTATCGCAATTCGCATGCTAATCTTTTAAATATAAATAAACCATAATAAGTAAATCTATTTAAACATTTTTTTTTTATCAAATTATTGAAATATTTTTTGTTACTTTAAGTTTTATTTATATTAATCGACAGCATGAATCGACTCGAATAAAAAATCTGTCAGCAATTCAACTGAATATTATGAAAGTTCCGAAGAAATAGCGCAAGGTTTTTGAAAAGCATTTTAAATAAAACAAAACTAATATTCTAAAGCTGAAGAGTTTATTTGTTTGTTTGTTTGAACGCGCTAATCTCAAGAACTACTGGTACGAATTGAAAAATTCTTTTTGTGTTGAATAGACCATTTGTCGAGGAAGGCTTTAGGCTATATAACATCACGCTGCTACTATTAGGAGCGAAGAAATAATGGAAAACGCGGAGGAAGTCGTTGGCGGCCACTAGTTTTTTATAAAGTGATCGAAAAGAATATAAAAAAGTATCTTTT